TCGCTGAGTTTACAGGGCTGAATAATAGATGATGCTGGTATTTTCCACTCCAGCACTCCCAGAAAGAGGTCAGGGAAACACCTTTGGGAATTGCCATTAGCAGGTCTCTTCCAGGCACGTGAAGCTCCAACTGATGGCTAAATGTGCTCAGAGAATGCTGGGGAGACAGCGCAACATCTGAACAGGGTCAAGACCCTTTGGTTTGACACAGTGACCAAATGTATATTTACAAATGAAATGATTTTTGTTAAAAGCATAGCAGGGGAACAGTCCAGGAAATCCTAAATGAAAACTGAAGAAGGAAAAAAATACAAATACAGGGCAAAATCAGGGAATTAGAGTCATGGAAGCCAGGAGGAAAGGATTTCACACAAAACCATCAGATGCTAGAAAAGGATGCCAGCAGAATGCTGCACCCAAAATGGACCATGAAGAGACCAACAGAAATTTAAGAAAGCTCAATTTCAGAGAAATGAAAGAGATAAAAAAAAAAAAAAAGCTCTTCTGGGAAATCATGACCTGGAGCTGGAGAGAACTCCAGTCAGGGACTGTTAGCAATTTCTGGATGACACCATGCTCTAGCAAACACAAAAATTCAGTAAATTAATCATACCATCTCTCCTGCTCGCTGCAGAGTGAATACGAAGCAGATAAAATAAATTCCTCCTTTATTTCTATTTTAAAATATTCATATACGCTCAGTGATAGAGACTTGACAGTTTGACATTTCATCTGCTCCAGCACATGTGCTTCACGGAGTAACTACAGTTCCATAACGGTGCCTCGATTTCTGGTCAAAGATGCCAGAACCAACAGATTTCCAGCAAAGGCAATAAGTACCTTTGGGATATTTTAAATATTCTGCCCATAGCGAATGTGGCTAAAATTTTAGCTGTGCTGTTCATCTATCAGTATAATTAACACCATTACTCACAGCGAATGGAGAAGATCAGTAAATACTGGGATTGTGGGCTTTAAACTAGGAGGGCTTTAAATAAGCAAGAAGGGAGAAGGGGAGTGCACAGAGTCTAGTTGGGGGCCAACTTTAGTTGGCAAATGAAAGAACCAAAAGTTCCGCAGGAACTTAAGGAAAGATTTCCTGACAGTGAGTGTGACAGAGCCCTGGAAAAGGCTGCCCAGAGAGGTCATGGAGTCTCCTTCTCTGGACATCTTCCAAATCCGCTTGGACACCATCCTGTGCCAAGTGCTCCAGGTGACCCTGTGTGTGCAGGGGAGTTGGCCTAAATGATCTCTAAAGGTCTCCTCCAACCTTAAGGGTTCTGTGATCCTATGAAAATAAAAATTGCGGGAATGCCTCTCATCTTCACAGGCTGGGTTACAACACATTCATTTAGGCTATTTCTCACAAATCAATGAGGTGTTGATATAGGTCTACCATCCTTTTGGGATGTCTGTGGAATCCTAATAAATATTTCATGTATAACCACACCTGACACAGATATATATATATATTGCACTATAGTCAGGCAGTTTCTACATCCATGATCTGACCCTATATTTACTTTAACAGAAGTAATTCTTTCTTAAAACCAAATAGTATATTTCTGTTTTCAATGTACTGCTTTTCCACTAGGTCTGTGTTTTCCCCTCAGGTTAACAGAAAACATGCAATTTCAGAAGAGTATGAGATAAAACTATACCTCATCATATAAACGTAGAAGGAAATTGTTTCCCAAGCATTTTATGGAATTAATGCCTTATTTTTAAATACATTTTTAGAATGCAACCTACAATAAATAAGCATTTATTGTTATAAAAATAAAAAATGAGACTAAATTACAGACTCTTTATGGAGGCCATATTATTCATGCACATCTAATGAAGCATTACTAAGCTATCATAGGGAGATAGCCTGATGTGTGTGATTAGCAAAATAATATCCATAAATGGCTAATAACAATGATGGTTCTTTAAAAATTTTGCATACCCTCCTATTCAAAGTTACCTTTTTTTTTGCCTAAGAAACACATTAATCAGCAGTCTCCACACTGAAGAGAGTATTTAAATGGGCACAGACATAGCACAACTAGCTGCATTTTGCCTTTTTAAATATGGAAGAGCAAATGATCAAAAATTATTTTCACACATTTTGCAGCCATGAAGCCTCTTCCTGTCACTGTCTCAATACACAGAAAAGATTTAGAAATGGGATGTGAAAGGACTCCACTTGGCTTAGTCCATGGACTAGAACAATATCATATTAAAAAGTTACTACTATTACTATTTATAACTACTATTATTCTATTTATTTATAAAATTTATTCTTGCAGTTCTACGGATGGATTAAATTGCCTTGTACTGATAGCTCAAAAAACAAACAAAAAAATCCAGGCAAATCCTTTTCCATGGTGGGATAAATTCCACCTTCAAGTTATTTGATTTTCAACTTAACTTCCTCTCTGGATAAAAATTTCTTAGAGAACAGAATTCCTTATTGCTGGAAAATAACACTATTATTAAAATCAATAATCTTTGATAAATATTAGATCTGAACTACATTAAAGACAGCCATAAAGAACAAGAGAAAAAACCCCCACATATATAAATTCCTAAAGTAACTGAACTACAACCTTTCATCTGTAATGAATTTTGGAGCAGCTCCTTTAAATCATTTGCAAGAAGCCAGCTATTACACTGCCAATTAAAAAAAATGCTAGTTTTGAGCTACAAATTGATTTTTTATTATAATAAATTAAAATCCAATATTAGCCTACAAGATACTAAATGTACAGAAGCTGGCAATCTTTTTGCAGATTTTTTTTTTCTTGTTCATAACACTTCAGACCTGCTGTTGTGGCACCTGAGGGCTATAGCTAATGATAAAAATTCAGACAGGATATTCGAGTTGTGGAAGCCCAGCTAAGAGCGAAAGCTTTTGGGGATGGTAGAGGTGGGGAAAGTCAATCTAAGATTTCTCACGTTGTTCCCATGTGTCCTTTTAAAGACACCTTCTGTTTCCTGTTGCACAAGTGTGAACATCTCCGAATTCTAAAAACTCCTACGGCTCACAGGGAGAGCAGAGCATCCGCTGGAGCAAAACACAACCTCTGTGTAGGCACCTTCCCTTTCTTCCCATCCAAAACACAATAGTGAGCAATCAGACATCCCCAGATATGCCCATAAAGTTGGCGTTCTCTGGCCAAAAACATATATCATCATGTAATTAAATATTATCATCATGTCTGTGTAGCAGAGGGCTCAATCAAGATTGCACAGACAAGATTTATCTGACACTTCCAGTCTTTTGAGCACGGGATGCATCCTCAACAATGTGCTTTTAAACAGTGCTTTTGTATGAATACTTTACACATGCTGTACACAACACTTTCCAAACAAGCTTTTCATTACGAACTACTTGTATTATGTATCAGTGAACTCAATGACATTGATTTTCTAATAGTATAAATTAACTGACAAAGATAATTTCATCCATCATCAGCAGGGTTTTATTTCTGGTATCATGCTAAATAGTCCATCTTTCAAAAGATTAAATCAAGAGCCTTTTAAAATTCAAGGCAGTGCTCAAACTGCTGTGAAGTATCTTCTTAATTAGGATTAAAGCTGTTTGTGTGTTGAATCTTTGTATCTAGGTAGTATAATATTTTGCTTACATTTCTTTTAGAGCAGTTTAAAAATATCACACATAATAATGCTATGGTAAAAACTGCACAAGATTGGAAGGCTCCTGCAATTTTCTCTACTAGATTATTCTAGGCAAGCTGCAACTTGGCAATTCCAACCTCAGACTTTTAGATAAACTTTTAGACTTTAGATAAACTTTTCTGCCATGGAAGCCATATGAAAAATATGTTTTTTATACTTATTGCACAGCTGAGAAAAGACTCCTCTCTCTCAGGTATTGCAGTAAACAGGAGTATAATAAATTAAGATGATCATGACTGTGTTGATCTGGAATCACATATATGATGGAAATTCTTAGGATCCCCCATGCAATTCGAGCTAGCTTCTCAGGACACAGAGGATCTGATCCAAGCCAATTCTATCTTCTTAGCCCAATCTTAATCCTCCTCTGTCATTTACACTCTCAACATTCATTTGACCTGTACTGCTGAGAGGTCTTCAGCAGCACCCAGGCAAGGGGATGGCCTAGGCCTAGGCGAAAACCCAAATCCACACAGCTACCAGATTTCTGCAGTCTTCAGCAACTCGTGGGCCGATGTTTCCATGGAGCAACTCTGTGATCTCGCAGAGGGATAATAAAGCCATTCCTGCTGCTTCCTACACATACCAATCCACACCTTGCCACCATGCTCCTCCAGCCACATGCTGACACCAAAGGTATCACTGCATGACTACAGTAGGGTTCCAAGCCTGTTCGTTTTTCTTTTGCCCCCCAGATGTGGTAATCCATAGGCCTTTCCATTTTACATAACATGGCTAATTCTTTTTTTTATCTCCCCTGCAAGAACCTCTGCTTCCTGCTTCTCAGTGGGGAACATAATTATTAAAAAATATCGAGTAGGACTAAGCAGTGAGAACACACAATATCCTCTTAACAATTCACATAAGAATAATAAAAAAAAGGTGGTTCTTCTTTCATTTCTTAGATATTTCTGAAATGAGCTAATTTGTGAATACAAGCAAGCAAACAATAAATTTCTTTCAATTGTGCTAAGTTCTTAGTGTCATATATTTCGTTCACTGCCTGTAATTACATCAGTTCTATCACAGTTTCAACTCTAGGCTCCAAAGCTGTCAGTGCATATGCATGTAAGTATTTGTGTACTCAAGTAAATGGTTCTGGATGAGGCCCTGCAATAAACCTCACCCTCATGCTACACTTTACACCTCTGTCACCTAATGGCTTGCTGTGATATACGATAACCCCTTATCAGGCTGGTTAGATGCTTTATGTGCGCTTACACCGGTGAGATATTACTGTCCAGCTAGGAAAAGCTTTTAAAGGAATGTCCATGAAGAGATTCAATTTTGTTCCATCACATCATTATTTTACTTACCCCTGTCTTTTCATCAAAGATTTTGATTCCTCCGAAGGAGACCGTTAAGAAGACTTTCTGTTTATGCTCTCCCTTCGAACGAGCCGCTGCAACAATTCCCTATGGAAACAAAAGCAGTTTAGCTGTTTTGTTGCTATCTCAGGTTTTTTACTAATATGTGCCCACAGCAGCAGAGCACAAAGACTTGCTAGAGGAGGATTTATCACTTTTCCACAAAAACTTAAGGGTTTCCCATGAAAAGTTCCCTCTTTGCTCTATATTTCTCTCCTTCACATACTCTTTCTTCAAGTACCACATTTCTTTATGTTGTCCAGAAATCATTTCAAATGTGCTCTTGCTTCCAATCCCTGAACTAGCTAATCCTCCGTGAAATTTGTTTTCATGGAAGTTGAAGGTCATTCCTTCACCTTTTTTTTTTTCCCTTCCAGCTGTAAGTTTTTTTTTTTTTTTTTAAATCCAAACAGTACAGGGAAAAAAAAGCAACTTTTTTTTTTTTTTGGAAGAAAGATAATTTTTGCAAAACAATACTGAGGTGCTACTGTAAAAAAACACTGGTGGAGTCGGTTGTATTCTTTATCTCTGGTTCTAATTCGGCAATTGAACTTGCTGTGACATTCACAAGTTATCCTTCCACAGAACAACCCTAAGAGAAATTCTGCCCTCTCAGGACCCTGGCTGCCTTGATCACTGTGCTAAGAACAAATACAACTGAGCCAGCAAATTCTTCCTTCCCGTGAGGGTGCCAGAGCCTGGCACAGGCTGCCCAGGGAGGCTGTGGAGTCTCCTTCTCTGGAGATCTTCCCAACCCGTCTGGATGCGACCGGGTGCCCTGTGCTGTGGGTGTCCCTGCTGGAGCAGGGGTTGGACTAGATGATCTCTAAAGGTCCCTTCCAACTTCAACCATCCTGTGATTCTGTGTATCTGGTACTCTGTATCTGCAAAATGTATTAACAACTACTAACTTCTTAAGACTCTCAAGAGGTCATCGTTCCCATTACACTGCATGAAAATTAAATACAAAAAAATCAAGTGGTATCTCCAAATTCACCCCAAAGTCTTACGCTTGTGTTAAACTCAAGTTGTAGACTCCAAAACAACTCGCTGCCTTATTCTCAAACACGAATCTCTGAGGCTGTCTGTCCCTATAAATTTTATCAATTTCATAACAGTGTTTAGATAAATCTCTCCATTACACAAATCAGGCACCTTTGAGATGTGGAAATAATAATTTTACAAGGAAAAGTACAAAAGGCTGCCCAACAGAACAGTGACATGTCTTCAAAATTGCTTCAGGAATCAAGAATTGCTGGGAAATGCTTAGGAGACAAACAAGAGAGACAAGAAAGTGTCAGTTCTGAGAAATTTAGAGGGTACCTTTTAGAATAGATTAAATGTTGGCAGTCATAAAATGGTCATAACTCATTTATGAAGTATCTACCAGGTTTTCTCTTGGAAGTGTTGAACCAAAAGATGTCCATCACCCTTTGCTTCTTCTGCATTCACTGTCAGCTATTCTTTTTCTGTCCTTTTGTATTTTGCCTATCCAGAAAAGCTCCTCAGCCCTGGAATCCTCTCCGTTTGCTGGTGTACACAGTGCTACTGCATCCATCACAAGTAACTACAGGGCTCTGAGATCATCATCTATTAGAGTGAAACTGGGATAAGCAACACTAGTTTTTGTAAAACTGACTGACTTCAAGACCTAATTAACCAGTGTGTGACTCAGTGCCATGAAAGGAGAAGGAGCAGAAGTTCAAGCTGACGTTCTTTCCCTTTGGCTTACCTTGAGCTTCATCATGGAATCCTGGCATAACTTGTCTCCTCGGGCAGCAGCAACCTCATCTATCCCGATCAGCTTGGCTTTGTATCGGACACCGTCACCTTTAAACCTCTTTATTAAAGTGGCTTCGCTGCGATCCTGACCTGCAGAGACAGAAAGGAGACAGCACAATTTGCATGAAGGCAGAGGAAAACAAATGAGCAAATGTTCACAGCTAAGTTACAAATTAGATCCCACTCCGAGCTCAACACCGAAGCATGGGAGCGCTTGAATAAAATGAGACAAAATTTACTAGCTCAATAAAACCTTTCGACCTTACTTCCTCACAGGCATTCACAGGGGAATTGTTACCACACAAAATCTTCTGCATGAAATTTGCACAGCAATTAGGTTTACAGGAAAAAGAGATAAGCCGGAATCAGAGCTCACGGATCTGAAAACTTCTGATCTGTACAGGTTATTTTAATCCCCCTACATGCAGAAGTCTTCATTCTGCATGCCAAACCCCAGCCGAAATACGCTGCTATTTCCCTTGCATACCAACTTATCTAACTGCACCAGCAATATTTACACTATTACCGTTTGGATAATGAAAAAGCAAATGTTATGTTATTTGCCTGTAGAATATTTCTGCTCTAAAAAGAAAACCACCACACAATAAATACTGCCTCTTTGTACTATCCCTTCAGTTTACAGGCACCTATAGAAAAGAACAACAACAAAAAGAAGTGGCAATGTCAACTCATGCTCTCAGGCTTGCTCCGAGAAGCTAATAAATGGCACAAGATGTTTCCTAATAAAAAAGCAATGATTGGGTAAGATAGCAGAGTGCTGATAGGGCCAACGTCCATAAATTACAAGCTGAGGCTACACTGAACCACGCAGCAGCAGGGATGCTGGAGCTCCCCATGATGGACAGCTTTGCCTGAGAGCCTGGGGACAGATGAGCACCTACTGCTTTTTTTCCCCCCTGAATATCTGCAGAAGAGTTTATTCTGTGCCTGAGCTCAAAGAAATACATTAGTTAGGGCATCAGCCTTTCTCAAATTGATTTAGGGGGGTGTTGTGCAGCTGTCTGGGGAATTTCCTGCTCAAGGAAGAGCAGTGAACCATGAATACCTGCAAACACACAGGCAAACAAAGAGCAACACGCAGAGCGCAAGCAAGAAGGTGGGATCCTAAGGAATCTCTGAGGTCTCTGGGCCCCAATAAAGTCCCTCAAGCAAAAAGTGTTGTAACCAAAAAATAAGTAACATCAGCAGCGCGCTAAACAGCTAAAAATAAAGCATAAAAAATATAATGTTCTATTCAGAGAAGAAAATGAGGGAAGTAGAACGATGCAGACACACAATATTATTTCTTACCATGGAAAATATCAGTTCAATAGAAAATATTTAAAAACAAATAAAAACATTAAAAAAATAGAGAAAAGAAAAGAAAAAAAAGGGGGAAACTTTAAAAAGACACATGGATGTTAAGTCAGAAACTCTGCATAATGGTAGTATCATTCCCCGGGGAAATGCCAAGGCAGATGTTGGCACTGTCAGCTAAAAGCAATGAGAAAACATTTTCGGCATTAAGCCCCTGGCGCAGGACAGGAGGGAGAACATCTGGATACACCACAAAGTACAACTATAGCCGTGGACTTTTCCATATGTCTTCTATACTTGCAAAGATGTCCTGTTGATTTGCAGTAAATAAAAACCAATTCAAACCGCTTCCTTGCCAGCAGTTTTCAGCCTCACATCTTCATCACTGCAGAAGGCAGCTGCTGGTTAATAGTAATATTGCTGTGACTCTGAGCACTCCTGGGTGCGAGCCATGAAAACCACCTTATATCCACTCAGGGATTTCAACATTTATTCTTACTCCACCCTATGATCTGCTTTTCCAAATGCATCTACACTTCTGACATTAGGAGCCCATTTAAATACAAGGCAACTGCGCTTGCTTACGTGCCAGTCCCCTGTTGATTATGAGGCAGATGAAGCGAGATGCAGCGTTTGGGGGATGAACGACTGGGAAAACTCCTCAACCTGAAAATGATGCTGAGATTTTAAACTGTAGTGGAAACTAAATAGAGTCGATAAATTCCTCAGTGAAAAATACCTTGGAGCATACATGCCATGAAAAAGTACATTAAATGCACATGCATGATCCTGTGTTATATGTATCAGTCCTCTGAAACACCTCTTTTTCCCAGCTCTCCTGTCCTGACCTGTGTTTATATTGGATATCCAAGGTTTGGTGCGGTGAGCAGCAAGGAGGAACTTCCCACGTGCTTGGAAAATCAGTGTGACACATTCTTGTGTTATTTGAAACTCTTTCTTTCCATGCCACATATCTGCTCCAATCCCACTTCTGGGCTTCCTGAGTGGAGAGGACAGGGCAGATACCAAAGCCCTGCAGGTGAAAAGTATCTCAGTCCTCCAGGGATCTGCCAGGGTTTGAATTTTTGTAATAAACTTTTATAAACCTAAAGACCAAGGAATAGTTTCCAAGAGTTTGCTCTAAAATGCCTTTATAATTTCGTGTTCATAAACAAGCAAATACTGGAAATGTAACTCAACCCAAAGACTTCAAAATCCAAAACTAAACCAAATTACCAACAGAGCTAAGAGATTCATCTGATTCTCATGCCCCTGGCTGAGAAAAAAACACAAAAGAGGAAAGAACAGGAAGAGTGTTGCACAAACTCAATTCAGAAGGGTGATCATTCCTAATTGGAAAAGGTGTCACTGTTGACACAAAGAAATGTTTTCTTTGTAGCACGTAGATTTGTGCTCCTCAGAAGCCTTTAGAATGCAAATGTGTGTGCAATTATTTTTTCTAATTCTGTGTATGCCACTGCTCACCTTTAAGCCATACGTGTTCCAGACGGAGCCACTGCTCCCGCGTAAGCAGAAAACATGACCTGTGCTGCAGAGTGAGAAGACTGTGGTGGGACTTTACAACCCAAACTCCCAAGTGCTCCCATGCACGTCATGGCTAGCAAGTTCTCGACAAACTCTTATACAGCCCAAGTGGAAATTAAGCTATGGAGGAGGCTGCTGCATTGGGGACCCCCAGCCCAACCAGTGGCCACCCCAGGACTGAAGATAGAGCCGTGTCCACATTATCTAAGTCCACCCAATGCTCTTTTCTTTGCAAACCAAAGCTCTCTCAAAGTTCAGCCACAAACACTGGGCACTTTGTTAGGGGTTTCAGGACGGCTTATCCTCACGCTTGGGGCAGAAAGTCAGGGACTGTCCTTGATGTCAGCTCTTTGTCAAGGGGAGCACTAAACCACTGCATTAACACGCTAACATTTAGACCAAATGCTGTTCACTCACGCAGGAGATCCTAAAGTGAGCATATTTTACAAATAGAAAAAGAAAATAAACCCAATCACAGCAGCAATAAGCACACCGTAGCCTTTTCTGTATGCTCTTATAACAGACTGCACGTTCTTCCCAGAATTTATTCTTCACAGCATCCCATAATGTAAACCAATAGCCCTGGAAATAGCTATATCCTTTATTTAAATGTGTGAAGCCCTCAGGGCATCATCTGAATTTCTTGATTTTATGACTGTAAAAATATATAATGATATTATCACCAAAGTCAATAACATGCTCCTGGCAATCAATTCTCTGAAGAACGACTTGCCACTGTCCTTTTTTTTTAACTAATAAACTGTCCAAGTTGTATCCATCATACATTCAAATTAGCAACCTGAAATAAAAGCTCCTTGTATCTCACAGGGATGGAAAACAATCACATTCACTCTTATAAACAGGCTATATCTTCATGGAGGCAATTAGCATTTTTATAGCACCAACACAGTGGAAAAAACCCACAATATTGCCGTACAGAATGACCTCTAAGACACCACACACTGAAGACCAGTGAATTAAGTGCTAAGTAACAGGTATTTCCCACTTGCTGTGCATATATACGCTCCCAGCTCTGAACATACATGCACCCCCACTCCCTGTACTTCTGCACGTACACAAAAGCACACGATGCAACCTTCCTCTGCTAGCAATTAACTGAGGTAAATCCACAGTAATTTTAATCAAACACAGCTTTTCCCAGGAAAAAGAAAATAACCTGTTCATAAGCAGGTGTTTAGAAGGAAATATTCATGCATAATTCTATTTTTCAGCAGAGCAGCAAGCGAGCAGCAGTTCGGGAAGGACTCGGCAAGAGCTCGAGTGGGTTATTCTACCTGCAGCCCTCTCCTGTGGGCCCATTTTCTCACTGGCTTTGCAGAAATGCTCGTCAGAGAGACAGGGCTCAACACCCTGCAACTCAACTGCCTAAAACCTTCGGCACAGTGTGCTTATACAGTGCTTGAAAATTAAGGAGCACAAGGAAAATCAGGAAAATTAAGTTACTCGGTTGTGGAGTTTGTCGTGCTGAAGGTAGAAGACTCTGGGCCGCCAGATTGTGTGTTTGCTGCTCAAGGCTCTGGGAGCAGGACTGCCAAAACCCGCTGTGCTGCATCTAGACACACAGCACGGAACACAAAAATCTTTCTGCTTTCTTAACATAACAGGTTTTTCAAAAAGAAAACATATAACATCCTGCAACATATGCGCATACAGTTTAACTTTCAGCACTGTCACTCCAGTTCCCTTCCCCTAACAATATTTCTTGAACAAGTTTCTTGTGCAATTACCTTTTTTTTTTTCTTTTTTTCTTCCTTCTTCTTCTCTGTGAAGTTATATAAGGATTTAACTTAAGATCCATAATTCACCTCAAGAGACCACAGTACAGTACAGTACTCACAGCAAGATCTGCTAGTAACAACAATGACCGTCATCTAAACAAAGATGAACTTTGAATTTCACACATTATTTTATCTATGAAGGCAAATGAAAAATGTGACGGATGCAAACCTGTCTTTCACCTCCTGGCTGGGAAGCTCTTAAAGATCTATAACATACCTATAGCAGCACTACCAGCTTACCCAACCACGGTAACCTTTTGTAGAAACACCAAGCGAATCCTACTGGGATACACTGTGTTAACAAAGTGCTATTTCTAACATCCAAGCACAGGTGCCATAGTATTTTCTAAGGAGCTGCCCTTGCCCAAGGGCTCCATGAGGAAGCCCACATGAGGCCTCCTGACTTGAGCAACTACTGCTGGTCCTGGA